ATTCAGACGATAGAGACACTCAGACAACAAATGCACATCGGGTACAATCTGGACTTTCAGACAGACATCTGTCCTCATGTCACCTATGTAAAGATTAATTGAATTTATCATTGCGATTATGTTTCTTCACAAATAGATGGGTCATATGATCAACATTTAAGTCAACATTTAAGTGGGATGAATGGACACTGTGATCAATTCATTGTGATTAATTATTAAATTATTTCTGACCTTTCTTGAATGTCCTATTTGCCGACGCACTGAAGCATCGATATACAGACCGGAAGCCGCCTGTGTTGCCAGGAGGCGTTGTCGGGTTTTAAAAACCAATATGTTCCTTCTCATTGACGAATATAAATGGAGGATTGAGAGAACGCTGACTTTCCTAAAAGCTAATTTGTCGCCGTTTTGGGCGCATCTACAATGATAGAAGGGGATCGAGAGTAATGTATTTACGTCACGTGTTACTCTAGGTCTTCAAGCCTTTGGGTATCGATCAATGACTTCCTAAAATTATTTACAGACTGTAGTGAGAATAATGATGTGGCGAAAGTCAACATCCATTCAATGTAAATTTTAAAACAACTGTAAAAATTGAAAAACCAATACAGACTTCCTTACGTCGTGTTTTTGAGAAAATGCAACTAAAATTCCCTTTCTCATTTGGAAGAGGGTCTTACAAATGACATATGCACAGGCCTGTTTGTCCCCAGATCGATACGGTTCAGTAGACATAGCCAATCATAGACAGTATTAAACATTTCCTGCTTCAAACATAAATTATGCATTTCTAATAAGGAATACCACAGTAGAATTCATGCTTGTATATAGTTTTCCAGATGGATAGTGTTTCAGAACGGCATTAATCTGATCACAATGCGCCACGGCGGTGTATTTCCAGTCTCAAAGACGCAGTGCACTTGGATTAAATGGATCATTACTTGTGACACAGTCCCTGTGTTTTTCTATGCCTGTCACGTATACGTCGTGTTCACATAATGATTAGAGTAAACAGAATTGGGCTTGATATAAAACCGAGATCTCCAGGCATGTCCGATCGATAGCGAAGCAGTCACAATATTTTGCTTTAGCGCAGCAGAAATTGCTTTGACATAAGAAGCACTTTATTTATTCAGAGAAGAGGCCTCGAGACGGTTCTAAATTATATGCATTTCCTTCGTAATATTAAACTAGGTTTTTTACTCCCACAAACATGAACAGCACAGAGTTTAATGCTACAAAATACAGCATTCATCAAAAATTCATGTGAAGAACATAAAATCTTGAGAATGTTTCTTAAAGGCTGTCAGACGCCTTGATTTCCGTCGGAATCAATAAATGTCTGTGTAAGAAGTATCAACGTATTACAAATTACACGGTGTGTTTTTACGTTGCATGTAGAAGTTATGATTACGACTGAGCTCCGTCTGTTATAGATTGCAGTAATTATGTTCTCGTATTCCGAGCATACTGCCTATTGTCGAGGGTTGATTATAGAGAGATGGACTGGTTTCCTGTCTCGACAAGGATGGCTAACACCATGTTGATACATTGAAGATAAATACAAAACTACAACGCATAAAAAATATAGGAATGATGGATATATGATAGGGGGGAATTTTTTCACCACAATAAAAACTCTCAAAACTTCTTCATGACTAACTTTTTTGGACAGTGTGTGTGTGTGTGTGAGTTCGTACGTGCGTGCGTGTGTGTGTGTGTGTGTGTGCGTGCGTGCGTGCGTGCGTGCGTGCGTGCGTGTGTGTGTGTGTGTGTGTGTGTGTGTGTGTGTGTGTGTGTGAGTCTGCTAGGATGAGGAGAGCAACACACTCTTGACGGAGGGCCCCCCACCTAATAGTGAGTGAGTGAGTTTAGTTTTACGCCGCACTCAGCAATATTCCAGCTATATGGTGGCGGTCTGTAAATAATCGAGTCTGGACCAGACAATCCAGTGATCAACAGCATGAGCATCGATCTGCACAATTGGGAACCGATGACATGTGTCAACCAAGTCAGCGAGCCTGACCACCCGATCCCGTTAGTGGCCTTTTACGACAAGCATAGTCGCCTTTTATGACAAGAATGGGTTGCTGAAGACCTATTCTACCCCGGATCTTCACGGGTCCCCCACCTAATAATGGCGAACGGATGGATGGCTTATGGTACTATCACTTCTTGGAGTGTTCTGGTTACATAGTTCTGACGATGAGTCCCTCCCCTTTGAAACACATTTAATGCCAATTAGATTAACGTCTATAAAGAAAATGTTAAACTTTTGCTACAAGAAAACCTCGTTACCTGATGAGTGAAGGATCCATAGTGTAACGTCAAACCTAAAAGCATCGTCCATGGCAATGTAATTGTTGTCGCTCCCACTACCGACGCAAAATGAAATCTTACTGCATGAACGATATGATCAGACACAGAGGAGATAAGCATGCGCGTGTGTGTGTGTGTGTGTGTGTGTGCGTGCGCGCGTGTGTGTGTATGTGTGAAAGAGAGAAAGAGAGATCCGCTCCAATACCGGTTGTATTGATCCGTTAACAAACATAATCTCTATATTCTTAATGATCGGTTATACTCCATTGTTTTTTAAACTGACCATCTGTAACACAACGGGCGGTGGACTAGCCTAGTGGTGACGTCACGTTGGCTCGTCACGCCGAAGACCCGGGTTCGATTCCCCAGATGGGTACAATGTGTGAAGCCCATTTCTGGTGTTCCCGGTGTTGCTGGAATATTGCTAAAAGCGGCGTAAAACTATACTCACTCACTCACTGTGACACATCATGTTGCATTTCAGTGGGTGAAACAGAACGTGGTAATGTGGGTGAAACTAAATGTTGAAAGTGAGTGAAACAAAACGTGGAATAGTGGGTGAAAAAACGTGGAAAGGTGATAGAAACAAAATGTGGTAAATTGGGTGAAACACAACGTGGTAAAGTGGGTGAGAAATATGGAAAAGTATGCAAAACAAACGTTAAATAGTAGGTGAAGAGGCAGTAAAATGTATAACACATTTAAAACATTAATCGAATACCGTATGTCTGGACCTTTTGAATATCCCAGGACACAAAAGAGCACCTGCTGAACAAACCACATACATATTTATCGACACTAGATGTACCTGCATTGAGAGATACCTTTTGAGTTTCTTTGGTGTCAAGTCTCTTACGTAGATGCATAGCACAGTCGCCTGTCAGGCTCGAGGTATGATATCGATTTGTAAATATCGTAAGAAAATCAGTTTGGCCTTCACATCGCGAAAACACATCTGGTAGAAACAAGAAAAAGCCCTAGGTCAGTCTGACATTGAAAGGCAGGCTACATCTTCCGCTGAGACTGCAACTGTGACGTCTTCACCAATATATTCTTTGTTGGACCAGTTCTGAAGCACCAGTTGTAACTGGTTTCGACTCAAACATTGCTACGTGTTCGCCTAGTCTTAATATGGAGCGGTGGGGTAGCCTAGTGGTTAAGGCGTTAGCTCGTCACGCCGAAGAACCGGGTTCGAATCCCCACATCGATACAATGTGTGAAGCCCATTTCTGGTGTCCCCCGCCGTGATGTTGCTGGAATATTGCTAAAAGCGGCGTAAAACTAAACTCACTCACTAAATCTTAATACTCGCAAACACTAACAGTAGCCAAACAAATGCGGCATTTAATACATCGTGGCAATATGTTTTTTGGGGTTATACAATATGTGTCGTAATTACTATATGAACTAAATCAATTAATCAAAAACATATTTAGTCATCCACTCAGGAAGTCTTCAGTATAGAAAGTGAAACTATATAGTTATTACATAGTTAAGAGTGAGTGATTGAGTTTGGTTTTACGCCGCTTTTAGCAATATTCCAGCAATATCACCGCGGGGGATACCAGAAATGGGCTTCACACATTGTATCCATGTGGGGAATCGAACCCGGGTCTTCGGCGTTACAGTTCAGGGAGTGAATGCTGCATTAAGCCGAACATGTCTCATGGTATCATGGTAGCCTTTAGATTAGTATTTGTGTCGACATTTCATTCTAAACAGCAGTCTGCTCAAGAGCAACGATCTCTTAATGGATGCTCCCGTACTAAATAATGGATGGATGGATTGCCTGAGGTACTGTCAGCTTTTCAGAGTGTCTTGGTACCATGCCCAAAAGTAACAACTTTTAATGCCAATTAGATTGACGTCTATATAGGATATGTTGCTGAAGAAAACTATCGTTGCCTGACGAATGAGTGAGTGAGTGAGTTTAGTTTTACGCCGCACTCAGCAATATTCCAGCTATATGGCGACGGTCTGTAAACAATTGCGTCTGGACCAGACAATCCAGTGATCAACAGCATGGGCATCGATCTACACAATTGGGATACGATGACATGTGTCAACCAAGTCAGCGGGCCTGACCACCCGATCCCGTTAGTCACCTGTTACCACAAGCATGGGTTACTGAAGAACAATTCTAACCCGGATCTTCACGGGTCACAAATTCATGAGCACGAACTAGTAAAGTAAGCTAAATTAACCCACTCATTGTGTCCTTCAGCCTGACAGACCCGTGAAGACCTGGGCTAGAATTGGTCTTCAGTAAGCCATGCTTGTAGTAAGAGGCGACTTACGGGGTCGGGTGGTCAGGATGGCTGACATGGTTGATCGATCGTATGATCGATGTTCATGCTGTTGATCACTAGATTGTCTGGCCAAGACTCGATTATTTACAGACCGCCGCCATATGGCTGGAATATTGCTGAGTGCGGCGTAAAACAACAATCAAACCAAATCCAAACACACGAAACAGCCTGACACAACGAGGATGTTCTTCTTTAGGCACTAGCTGACAAACCTGCAAGCTGCATATTGGCCCGAACAGGTCTTGATGTCACACTGTTGTCGCCAAGTTGGAAGAGCACCAAGTCTAGGCGTCCTTTGTCGCCTGCAGCATGTACATAGCTGCCGCCAGGGGAAGTCATGACTATAGGCTATAATTAGCATACATCCACCTCGACGTCCCTCGCTGTAGACAGAAGTTTGTTTCTGGTCGGTTCTGTGAGGTAATAGTTATATGAGTGTGGAATGTCCGTCTGCTAAAACAGACGGTAGTTATGGCGATGATTTAGTTGAAGTTTTAGTGTTTTACCGGACTCTACGTTTCATCCAGCGGTGAAGCTACATGGGATCGTCTCATCTCGCTCAGACGGTAGCTCTCCGATCGAAGAGTTGTGTTCAGAAACGGAGGGTCGGGCGGCAGGCTGTGGCAGATTGAGCATCATGCTGTACAATGCCGAGCTACCCACACGCGGAGTTGTGTCTTTGTCTTACACCATCAAGTGAGGTGGACTTTGAAAATCAGGATGAATATTTAATGGGTTTGTGTATCATGCAATACGTGACCTCCGGATAACCCACGGATCCCATTGGCCGTGATGGTGGGAACAGTTATGTTTTATTAAAAGCTGCAACCATACAGGTTGAGCATGTAAGACAGCCTTTCTTGTAGCCGTTGTCAATGAATGGAATGCCTCTGCTTGTATGGCAGTAGCAGACGACTTGAGCAGAAGCAGACGACTCTACTTCAAGTTCTGTTTGGGGATCAGTAGCTCCAGAGATGGCGTGGGGCTACCAAAGATGCAGAGGGGAGGAGAAAGTTGAAAGCCCTTATGGCAAAGTATGATAATCACCCATGCAACTTTAATCATGAGTGCGTATGTTCGAGGAGGCAAGGATATTCAGCGTTTCATAGTGGACGAGGACGATGTCGGGAACACCCCTCTCAAAGTCCGCAGACAGTCGTTGACTGATGACGAGGAGATTGTTCTTAACGTGGGGGGCGTGCGGCACGAAACGCACGCGTCCACCCTGCAGAACGTGCCCAACACGCGCCTGTCACGCCTGGCGGAGAACCACCTGTTGGGTGACGGGAAGGAGGAATACTTCTTTGACCGCCACCCCGCCGTGTTTAACTCTATCATCGACTTCTACAGGACAGGTAGGTGACAGTGATGTTTTAGGGCTCGTATCCACCCCTACACTCTACGCACCCCTACACTCTACCCACCCCTACCCACTCTTTTATGCCATGACCCTTCTTCATCTCTTCACAGGAAATATATATTCATATACACTCTTCCGGACACCATGTCAAAGATCATAACGGACACTTCTAGCCACCAAATGCTTGTTGTTATATTAACCTGTTTATATTTGTGTACACTTGGTTCTGAAAATTGGTTGAAATATACACTGGTTGCCAATGCTTGTCGAGGTAGTATACGAATCATTTTAATCATGCACACTGGAGTGAACGCCATTGAGAAACATGTCATTGTTTTTCTGCAAATATTATGTTTAATCGCGATTTGGAATACAAGTTGTGCCTTCATTAAGCATACACTGTGTGTGATAGGCAGCGAGTGCCATTCTCTTCCCAGTGTGTTACAACTCTGTACAAAACCAGGCCAACTGCCCACAGCTGGTGGAACACTGGGTTATAGCCCTGTTTTATTCAGTAATCGTTAATGATTATCATATGTATTTACACTGACGATGTCAATATGAAGCAGGTATTTCTTCACATGTCCACCATGTTTGCCATCATTACAATGGGAGTTTGGAGATGCGATTTCTTCGTGTTTATTGTACATCGTCACGCAATACCGCCCAGGTAGACAGACACTGTACCTGTAATCAGGCAATGATAGCGAGCTAATGCGAGGTTGGCTGTAATGATGTCTGTGTCCCGACCTAATCCCGTCGTGAATCTTCTGATGAAGGGAGGGACACGTGTTTGAGACCCACAACCTTGTCACATGACCTTGTCTCGAGAACGACTGCACTATTCTGTTGGAGTTTCAGTTAGGTTTTCCTTAAATATTGCATTGAACTATTTTGAAATTAGGCAAATACTGACTGTTGATCTTGTATAATAGCACCTGCACTGATAAAATTACTGCTTTATCAACCTAATTTTAAATCAATGATTTTGTAAATTTTCAAGGTAAACTCAACACCATTGTTGGTCATTATTACTTTTTAATGGGGTCAACGTTCCAGCTTACAAGAGAGGTGGAAATGTCTTAAAACTGCATGGATCTATCTGTTGCATGTTCCTTGTACAGTTGACCCGTGAAGATCCGGGGTAGAATAGGTCTTCAGCAACCCATGTGCTTGCCATAAAAAGCGACTATCTTGTCGTAAGAGGCGACTAACGGGATCGGGTGGTCAGTTTCGCTGACTTGGTTGACACATGTCATCGGTTCCCAATTGCGCAGATCGATGCTCATGCTGTTGATCACTGGATTGTCTGGTCCAGACTCGATTATTGACAGACCGCCGCCATATAGCTGGAATATTGCTGAGTGCGGCGTAAAACTAAACTCACTCACTCACTCCTTGTACAGTTACGTAATTCACGTTGGCAACGACAATCTGGGGTCGTCGTAAAGATGCCTTCAGTGACGATAGGGTTGAAGCAGACCAGGGCCATCACCTGCAAGCTGGGATAATTCCAAGTGGACAGTAGACCCTGGCACGTGCGTTTTGGCGGTTATTGGTACCGAGGTATTTGAATCAGTTGGATATCTATTCAGTTTGTGGCAGGTCTCTTTGTTTCTTGTACAAGAACTTTGCAAGGAAGTATTGACTGGTTCCATGTTTGACAATCAAATCAAAGAAATTTCCCTGAGGGTTTTATCTGGCGTTATTCCGTTTCGAACTGACGGTAGGACATAGTTCAGATGTCCCATGTGTAGCTAAACCTCGTTAGAGCAGGTCCCATTGGAATCGTCACTATTAGCATAATTCCAGGTAACCAAATTATATATTTCTACACACGGCCTATGAAGTTATCGCGGAATATGGTTGTACGCGCTTGGGATTGTCCTGAATGGAATAAAGCATGGCAGTGATAGGTTTGAGGGTGAATGGTTATCAATGGAAAAGCAATGTTTTCCGTACACTTACTGTTAACAACACACGCACTTGTTGATGCCTGTAATTGTATGCTCATGCAGTCAATCACAGGATTGTCTGTCCCGATTCGATTATTTACAATCCGGCTCAAATAGCTTGAATATTGCCGATAATTAAGTTAAATATCAAAGAAAATGATCGGTAGCGTCCGGATTCAACAGGTTTCACTGTCTGTACGTGCCACAGCTTTTTTAGGGTGTGAATATTGGGTTATGTGTTTTTGTCTCATGGCAACATACTAGGAATAATGTGGAGGAAGTTTAAATGAGTATGGCGCTTTATACAATAGTAGTGATTGTGTACCACAACGTATTTGTTGCATATCATGGTTAAATTACTTTTGAAACCTGGAACTCTTTTAGACTAATCACGGCGTATGAATACATTTCCCAGGGTGCAGGTAATTACTCTGCCACAAACAATTAAATGCATATTCATCAAGCTAACATGAAATTCAAGGTAATTAATACTTTTCTATACTTGGTGAACTGGTTGCTTGTCAAGGGAGTACACGAGGTTGCTGCACACGAAGGTGAAGAATTAACTGTTTGAGTACTGAGAAAAGTCATTTGAGTTCCATTGTTGAGAAACTTCATGTGTTTGACTGAGAGTTTTTGTGAGTTACTGAATATTGTATGAGAGTAAATTTTATCATTTAGAGTCATGCATACCCACATGTGACCAAAATATCAGAAAACTCTTACTACAGTAGTAATACGTATAACAATTAGAGGTATGCTGAATATTTTTGAGAATGTTGAGACTTATTAGGAGTTACTGAATATTGTATGAGAGTAAATTTCATGCATACCAAAGGGTGACCAAAATATCAGAAAACGCATACCAGTAATACGTATAAAAATTAAAAAGAGCTTTGGTGAGTTACTCAATATAGTATGGGTGTAAACGTTATCATTTGATACCCGTGAAGATGTGGGTTAGAATTGATCTTCAGTAACCCATGTTGTCGTAAGAGGCAACTAACGGGATCGGGTGGTCACGTTCGCTGACTTGGTTGACACGTCATCGCATCCCAATTGCGTAGATCGATGCTCATGGTGTCGATCACTGGATTGTCTGGTCCAGACTCGATTATTTACATATTGCCACCATATAGCTGGAATATTTTTGAGTGCGGCATAAAACAACGAACAAAACCAATCATTTGAAGTCATTTATACCAACATGACACCAAACTATCAGAAAACGCATCCCAGCAATACTTATACCAGTTAACGGTTCAGTAGCCAGTAGCCACTTCCCTGTCATAGAGAATGACTATAGTTTTACGCCGCTACAGTAGTATTCAAGATATATCACCAGATAAGTTTTGGGAATCAAACACGAGCCTTCTGTATAACTACTGAAAGACTTTCGTTATTAGTGATTCACACCATGTGTGTTTCAGATAAGTGCAAGCTTCACGTGAAGATCCAGGTTAGAATTGATCTTCATGAACCCATGCTTATCGTTAGATGCGACTAACGGGATCGGGTGGTCAGACTTATTGGCTTGGTTGACACATGTCATCGTATCCCAATTGCCTGGGTCGATGCTCATGATGTCAGTCACTGGATCACTGGATTGTCTAGTCCGGGATCGATTATTATAGACTGCCGTTTACATAACAAACAAACAAAATATATGCGCCAATAAGTGAGGAACGCTTGTTGGAGATATTTGGTAGTCTATGGCTGTGGAATGGATTAGCAACCTCCAAGACTGCCAGACTTAGTTTGTTTTGTCCTGAGGGACCAGCAGAAAATTCGCCGTGAGTATGGAGAGGTAGATATGATTTGTTTGTCGTTAAACGTCGTATCAGCAAAAGCAATATGTCGGCGGTCTGTAAATAATCCAGTCTGAACCGGACAATACCGTAATTGACATCGTGCGCATCGATCTACGCAGCCTGGACATGGTGTATACACCAGCTAAGTCAGCTAACATGGCCACTTGATCCCGTTAGTCCGTTCTTACAGGTACGGGTTACTGAGCGTCAGTTCTAACCCGGATGTCCACGGGGTCTGTAGGTATACACCAGCTAAGTCAGCTAACATGGCCACTTGATCCCGTTAGTCCGGTACAGGTACGGGTTACTGAGCGTCAGTTCTAACCCGGATGTCCACGGGGTCTGTAGATACCACTTTACAAACACCGTAGGGGTGAAGATGACTAATGCAACAGCAGATATGGCTTGACGAATGGCAATGTTGGAGTCAACGTGAATACAACGCAGGATATATTTTCACTGACGCTAGTGTTTACCCTCAGGATGTATAAAGCGCTAAATTTACTTTAAAAATTGTAGATAAAATATGTATTAACCATGACAACGCAAGAAAATAATTATTCACGCTTTATTTGTATCTGAAATGTGTTTCATCTGTTTGACATTACAATCAATGCAATTATTGAAGGTTAAATGTTGACCGAACAGGGCATGCGTCTTCCGTAACGACCTTTCACTACAGCGCGGTGCCATTACGGTACACTGTAGCTGAAATAGCCCTTGTTGCAGCTGCAATGTTGTGCCATACCGTTGTTAAATCTTTCCATCACATCGTAAATGTTAGGCAGACGTCAGAATACATGAATATTCCAGTAATATTACTTAAACGAGACCATTCCATCTCGCTGTTATTGCCTACTAATCTTCAGGTTTGCACACCAAACACATATCAGGAATTGGGCGACGCAGAAATTGACTGATGCGATTGAAAAATGACTTGGTAAATGTCACCATGATATTGCTATTTGAAATATCCCATTTCTTCTGTGATTAGAAGACGGAAGTGATATATTACACGAACATTTCGAGTGTAATGGCAGTAGTCTTTGTCTCAAATTTGGTGTTGTGTAAAGGTCGATTTTCTCACACTCGGATGTCACGCGAGTTGGGTACCTAAAATACAAACATTAAGATTTAAAGAGTTTAACATGCCTTGGAACGCTTTGCTATTTCACACTACGTTATCGATTGAAGACGTTTTTTGATTTATATCTGTTAAATTGTGTCTT